TGCACACGGGTGCATCTGTGTGTGTGTGTGTGTGCTGTCTCTTATACACATCTAGATGTGTATAAGAGACAGGGTACAATGGCTGCTCGTACAGACACACCTTATTCATGACCTACACAACTGCTGGCGAACAGGTAAGTCTTCTGACAATGCCCTTTGCTTCAGGATGTGCCCGTTGGTAGAGAACTTGGACTCTTGACCTGCTTTTCACGTTTCTGAGCCCTGGCGAGATACCTTTTCAGGCTGCTTTACTTTTACATGGCCCACGTTGCTTAGTTACAAGGCCTGAGGCCTACATTGGGTGAAAAAGGCCCTTTCATCAGCTTTGTTGCTTCATGTAATCTTCATTTTGCAACTGTCTCGTGAAGTCTTGTTGCGTCGTTCGTCTCGTGGAGTTCGTACACAACCTTTTTTTTTTTTTTTTCCTAACTCTTTTCAAGTTTTTTGTAGTTTTTTTTTTTTTTTTTTTTTTTTTTTTTTTTTTTTTTTTTACAACCTGGTTTTTTGACAACCTTTTTTTTTCTCAGGTATTCCTGCGAAAAATTCACCAGTTTGCAGAGATCCGGTTTCCTGGCGGACTGGAGACCCCGTCATTGAGTGCAGTTGAATTTTTGATTGGGTTCTCGAGTCTTGCATGCGCGCAGACTTCAGACGGAAGCTCGGCAGCGGATATTCACATTGCAGATTCCATAAGGTGGTTCTTCAGGTAACAAAAAGAAAAGTAGTCGTTTTTTATTTGTTTTGCTAGGCTACCAGAGTGGCTCGGGACCACCTGCCCTGCCGGGCCAAGAAAAAATAAAAAACAAAATCATTTTTTAATTTAGTTGTTCTTTGAAAGCTGGTAACGAATTTCGATGTGACCCTGAGGCAAAAGTTTGTTCAATAACTTTTTTTTTTTGCTGGGACGTTGTTGAATTTAACTTTTGATCTGTTCTTAACAGTGAATTTTGCGCTAGAAGCTGAAGGACAGCTTGCCTTTCTTTTCAAAAGGGGTTACCTGGACCCCGTTAACATGACTGTACCCCCTTTTGATCTGGATTTGAACTCTTGATCTGGTGTTTACTAGGTAGTGAATTGTGCTTACTGTTCTCCCATCAGGTAGGTGCAGGGGGTTTCTCAAAGGCGGCTTTGCTGACCCAGAGCAGTGTCATGCTGGAGTTTTCTCCCTGCTTTCAATGCTTTGTCTTTTTGCATTCGTTTTTGGTTTGTTTGTATTTGTCTCTTTATCATTTATGTAAGTTTGTTATTGCCGCCGATGCATTTCTCGACACCGATGGTCCCGAAAGCTACTTTAAAAATAGAGAAAAGGAAAAGCGAAAGTGAAGAGGTCTCTCCTTTAGATCTTTCTTTTTTTAACTTAGTGGTTGTTATTTATTACTGTACCCTGACTCCTCATATACCTGTCTCTTATACACATCTAGATGTGTATAAGAGACAGCTATATAGGTGAGTATGCTAAATTTGGCCACCTACTGATCTTC